AGTTTTCTAGGATAAGCCCCAAATCAGGTTTTCCCTTTAAAAAAGCGCCTAAAGAAGCTTGGCAATTCCACATCTGACTTGGAAACATTTAAAATTACCGGACCACCTCTTGTGAAATGAAACCTAATTAAATATTTGGCTTTACAGTGGAGGTGGAGAGTAACTACCTCTTTCCAAGAATTTGGTTTCAGATCTCTAAATGTCCTCTTATTTTCAAATCCAATGATTTCAGAAGTGACATTATGTTCCTAAAATGTGTTTGGCATGAAATAAACAGATATTGGCACTAATAAATTTTCAGAGAGGCAAGGGAACCTCACTTTGCCAAATCATTGCCTGTATTACCTTGCAGCTAACAACACTTCGTGGTTGCATGGACTTTTGACCCAAAATGCAAATAGAGCCCAAGGGAAAGAATTCAAATTTGCTATTTATCATTCCTCATTTTTCCTTCCAAGTGTTAGTTCAGGTTTTGGATTACTTTTCAAATTCTGTCAGTCAATCCAAAGGAGAGCGGGCATTCTCCTTTGAGCTTATCTCTACCCACAACCCAATTTAGTACCAGCCGCAGTAAGTGAATAACTCTTACCATTAGAAACAGTGTAGCAGAATTTGGTTAATCTTTGTGGTCCACAGGTAAAATATTGAATGACAAGATTTTTTTTTTTTGTTACATCAAATACATTCCATTGTATTAAAAAAATCAAGTCCTCTGGACAACAGATAAATGTCTTATAAAAATACTTATATAATTATATAAATGCTCATATGGTAGCCTTTGGCTCATCACTAACTCCCTAAACTCTGACCCTCTGACAGAAACAGGAAGATCTTATTAAAGGTCCAGGCAAATATTTGAAGAAAAAAAAAATTTTGGTATTCAGAAATACAAAACTCTTCATCACAGCTAAGATGAAAGTCTTATTTAAGAGCTTCTGCACACTGATTTGAAAAATGAAGGAATGGGAAAAGTATGAAACTGAGGGAGAGCATGACTTTAGGCTTAAAATAAGAGGAGGAAAAAGTTAAGAAGTACTCATAATCTTACAGCTAAGTTTTGTTGTTATTGTTACTCACCATCTACCTTTTAAAACAGTGTTAAAAGCTTCTTTTGACAGTCCTTTAGGGAAGCGACTTATGAAAAGTGCTTTAAAGGGTGATTTATTAGAGAAATTATAATACACTTTTGGAAGTGGAAGAATTACTGGACCCTTGGCTATTAGCAGAAACACTAACCCCACTCCAGGTTGGAAACCTGGAAAACAGCAATATTTCAGAAGGCTTGAAGGAAATACGTAAACAGGGAAGAATTTGATGTGGCACAATACCCCCGTGTCCTTCTGCCTTCCCTCTCCAGTTCAGCAATTTGGAAGAACCAGGAGCAGGAAACGCACTGCCTGTATAAACTGAGCAGTGATGATTCTGGAAGTAGCCATTAGTTTTCAGAGAGAGACTTCACCGCTCTAGAAGACTGGACAAAGACACATTTGTTTCCTGAATTTGGGCAGAGGCTTACAGTTACTTTTGCTAAAGTGAAGTTCAGAGGCAAGGGCTCACAGCTGGCAGGTCCTGGCTCCTTTCGGCTTTACTGCTCTACCAAGGTAAAGGTAAAGGTAAAGGTAAAGGTAAAGGTAAAGGTAAAGGTAAAGGTAAAGGTAAAGGTAAAGGTAAAGGTAAAGGTAAAGGTAAAGGTAAAGGTAAAGGTTTAGACTAGACATTAGAAAGAAGTTTTTTACAATGAGGGTGGTCAAGCACTGGCACAGGTTGCCCAGAGAGGCAGTGGAGGCCCCATCCCTGGCAACACTCAAGGTCAGGTTGGATGGGGCTCTGAGCAACCCGATCTAGTTAAAGCTGTCCCTGCTCACTGCAGGGGGGTTGGGCTAGATGATCTCCAAAGGTCCCTTCCAACCCAAAGCATTCTATGATTCTATGAAAGTATCCATGGGCCATGAACAGCGTTGAGGTTAGCTGCCAATACTTTACACTCTACCCCAAGTGACTGACAACCACTAACAGCCGAAGTTTTTTCATAGGTTTATAGACACAAGCATGGAATGGGAGGTACAGAACTACAGGAGATTTTCCCTGAACAGCCCTAATTCTACTTCTCTATTCTTGCCTCCCTCCATCTGAAACATAGAGGAGTTTCCTGCATGCCCCAGTAATATTTAACATCGCTAACGATATAAGCATTAGATAGAAACTACAGAAATCATACGTAAAAGTACCTGGATTGCCAGGCAGTTTGGAATGGGCAGGAACTATGGCAACAGCTTACAGTTTACTCTTCGTACACCACAGAAACGACAACTCTTTTCCCACGCTCATTACTCACGTTACTATTTTTAAGTACTTAGTGGCATGGCATGTTTTACATACAGCACATTCTACTGTTCCAGCTCCGTCGCAAAGCTTGACACGAGATAACCCCTTACTCTGCATATTCTATATTTATTGCATCATCCACCTGACCATTATATAACGAAAAATAAAAATTTATGAGCTGAAACTCTGAAAGAAAATTAGGGTTCAAAAGAGTATTCTAAAACTGTGTTTCTTGACTTCCAAACACTGATGCATTTTCTATCCATATTGAATACATGAGCCCTTACTTTTCAGGCAGTGCCATGCAAATTTTTCTCCTAATTTGAGGGTTTAATATATTTACCGTTATCTTAACGAAATTTAGTTTTTCAAGAAACATGTTCATTACTAAGACGTATTTTTAATTTTTTTTCCCCACTCCCAGATATTCAGAGACTGAAAATTTTTACATTTAATATATTAGCAACAAGCAAAGCCTGAAGGTTTTGGTTTTTTCCTGCTTATTTCATACTAGCAAAAACTGCTCAATTCATATAATCATAGAATCGTTTAGGTTGGAAAAGACCTTTAAGATCATCCAGTCCAACCATTAACCTAACATTACCAAGTCCACCACTAAACAAATTAAGGGTAAAGTAGCAATTTCATGTTTCCTGGTTTGGTGGCTGGATTATTTTTAATGAAAGTAAAACTAGGAATCATTAAGGTTGGAAAGGACCTCTAAGATCATCAGTCCAACACCACCATGCCCACTAAACAATGTCCCAGAGTGCCACATCTACCCATTTTTTGAACATCTCCAGGGATGGGGACTCCACCACCTCTCTGGGCAGCCTGTTACAATGCTTGACTACCCTTTCCGTGAAGAAATTTTTCCTAATATCCAATCTAAACCTCCCCTGGCGCAGCCTGAGCCCATTTCCTCTCATCCTATCGCTAACTACTTGGGAGAAGAGACCCACACCCACCTCACTACAACCTCCTTTCAGGAAGCTGTAGAGAGCGATAAGGTCTCCCCTCAGCCTCCTCTTCTCCAGGCTGAACAACCTCAGTTCCCTCAGCTGCTCCTCGTAAGACTTGTGCTCCAGACCCTTCACCATCTTTGTTGCCCTTCTCTGGACACGCTCCAGCACCTCAATGTCCTCCTTGTATTGAGGGGCCCAAAACTGGACACAGTATTCCAGGTGCGGCCTCACCTTCCTTTCTGTGCATTGTACTAGAACATCTACAGCAACTAAAGAATGAAAGTATTAAATAGCAGACTGTGACAGTTCAAAGGCTGAATGGCCTCAGAACATCTCCAAGGAACACTCCCACCTCTAATAATAAGAATTCCTATATAAATGTTCCACTTACACCTAAACAAATGAGTTTCGGAAAACCAACTTTAAAAATCTGAGTTATAATAATGCTGAACTCCTTCAGTGTTCTACATCTCAAAGGTCATCTTTTCACACCGCTTTTCACCCATTTTTATTACTGACCAGTGCCAGAATTTTGCAGAAAGCAAGAAAATATCACATTAAGAGTTCTTCTTAATCCCACGGGCTTCTTATCATTGCAATATCACATCTCCCTTCAAATAATAAAACGTGTATCATTCAGCTCACAAGTATCAAGTTTGATCTTATTCTGCCTAGGCTACATTTCATGCTTAGTTCTTTAAATGTTTAGAAATTGTGTTGCAAGAGTAATAAAAAAAAATTTGAAAATTGGATTATGTTTTCCAGCAGATACATTTTACAGATAGGTTAAGAGTTCTGAATAATTTTGTTTATTGAGTGCCAAGCAACACAAACTCACATTTACCATAGCAGAATGATTCTATTAGTTCACATCTGTCTTAAACATCAAAACACATGTTTCCCTACTAATGAATTTCAGACCAATAATTTCACATCCCTCACGTGGTTGAAATAAATCCATTACAGTCTGTGGTATAACTTAAAGAGTTTTGTGGTGGGTACACAGCAAACTGAGCAAGACAGATTTTCTGCTGGTAGGCAGAATACCAAGATGATCCTGAATTTACCAAAAACATTTTAAAATATGAACAAGCACAACTTTGTAACTCTTGAACAACATAAGCAAAATTTTATATCAAAGAGAAGAATAGCCATTTCTACAGTCTTTTTACCACCAATACCCCTACTGTGTTTATCATTGTAGGACTGATTGTTGTCACCAAACCACTTGATGGGGAAGAAGAATCCCATACCCTCAAGAGAGCTGTATTTTGCAACAGTGACTGCTTTAAAAGTAACAAGTTACTAAATGCGCAAGGTTTTAAATGATTAGTGGCATTTAACCCTCAGGTCACTTTCTAAGTGAGCACCACCAATGTATTAGAACATTCAGCAATACATGGGATTGTCTTGGAGTAGTAAGTGTCTTAAAACAGCTATTTTATTAAAATCCATAGTCCCAGAAGAGTTCCAAAAATCTTTAAACTCAAAGAAGACTGTGTTAACGCTTAAAGTAACATGTTAACACACGTACTGTGCCAGTTAGTTGCTGAGGGTATTTTTTACATTGTCTGAAGAGCAAGAGCTCACAAAGCCACAGTGATACAGATACATATGATATGCTTCATTGCTCCAACATGTACCATCTTTCAAACACTAACAACATGCAACATTATTTCTCCTGCAGATATTATGTATCAGAAAACATACCTCTATATCCTGTATTATCTTTGGGTATAAGGACCTGTAAAATGAATTTGGGGGGCCATCTGTTGGTCTGTTTTTAAACAGGTACTGATCCCTAGAAAGAACCAGAAACATATTTTTCAATTTACCACAATGAATCCAAACTTTAAAGGAATTCAAAATCTGCACAGAACAAAACCTTATGACATTCTCACAGAATACTTGTAAGAATTTTTAGTATTGCCATTACAACCCTCATGACTTTACAATTTGACAGCTGTATTTAAAATTTCCAAGACTAAAAAGACAACAGGTGTTTTCCTTATGGTTTTCCAAATTAGGGTTCACTGCTTCATAAGGCTTTTAGCCAGCAGGGTTGTCGTCCTCTTGCTCTTTACAATATGCCTTGCATTTTCTTAAGCACACCACTAGAGAGCACAGAAAAGCAGGTTTCCAAAGCAGAACACCTCATCTCTTCAGATGCTCCTAAAGGATAGAGAAACTCCATTGCCACAAACACAAATGGTTTCTACTTAAGAGAGGCTTCTGCAGCCCAATCAGCTATTTTGCATTTTAAGCAAAAAAAAGTTTAACTAGAAATACTTCACTCAAGAAAGAGCCCTGCAAAACACGCTGTTGCTAGTTTTTGTGAGCTGATTCTGCATGTTAGTTCTTCCTGCAGAACAGAAATTACAATTTTGCAGACAGACTTACCACAAGAAAGCAAGTGTTGAAATACACTGGTGCACAAAAGGACAGGGGACAAAGCCAAAGTAGAAACATGAGCTGCCAGCTTTCACCATAGCTACCCCTACTAGTCCATGGCAGAGATAAGGATCTCAGTGATACCAATTTACTATAAACTTACTTTTTGTCAGAGCTCATGATTAGGGAAATTTGTGAAGAACACTGTAAAAGGTCACTTTAGTTATTGTCAAGGTACTTACCAACCCCTTCTTTCTGACAGTCCCTTCCATAGTGGATCTGTGCGTACCATTCTTTCAATCAATTTTTTCCATAGCATTCCCTCAGAGATGACTCTCTGCCATTCCTTACATACCAGCTCTGCTGCACAGAGTGATCTGGCATCAAGATAGGAAAGGATGTTTTCTGCTATGTGATCTAAGCCTTGCTCTACAAAGAAATAAAGGCAATCAAAACGTCAATCACTTCACAGTAAACTACTAAACAAGTTAAGCAATACATTCAGAGAAAGCCAACACAGCTTTAAGGCACTGGAGCAACATAATTAAATTATCATACATAGAAGCACCAGTTACAAATTAATCCAAATGGGTGCACCAAAATATCTCTAACTCTTTACTCCTTTGCTAGTACAGTCTGCCTATTGGACTGTCCCATTTCCACAGAGCAAGAATGAGCACAAACCAAAATCCAGCATAGCATGCAAGCAGCAGAAAGCATTTTGCTGCTTCTGGGCACAGAATCCCGGACTTTTTGAGCACATAATGCACTGGGCTACATGATCCAAAAAGATGATCATCTTCAAGCAGATGCTTTGCTAAGCAGCAGTAATTAAAAAAAAATAAAATACTGATTCTTTTACTATTCCCTTACATATAACAATAGATAATTCAACTCAGCAGAAGACAGGACTCCACAGGAACAAATGCAGACATATCCAGTAGAAACATGAGCAAACATTCTACAAAAACTTTCTTGCATCAAATGCAAGGACATCTTTCCTATTTAAGTTCTTTCTATAATCTGCAGGAGCCAAGTCCACTCCTGAATTTTGTTCAGGACTCTGGTGGTAGAGCATATGCCAGAGACACCATGCCCTGCAGCCTGGTGTAGGAAGGGGAAATCAATGAGTTCAACAGTAATTCGTTAATTGCAAATGGTGCTTTAACATCTAAGGCAGTTATCCTCATTCATAGTTTACCATCACTAGACTCCATACTTAGAAAAATTATTACTGAATGACTTTTACCAGAAGCTGGGGGTTTTGAAGCTTCTCTTCAGCTAGAGAAAAATTCAAGAGGGACAAGTTTTCTGAAACAACTTCAAGTTGAGTAAACCAGACTGTAACATTCAATACAGCATTTATTTTAGGGCCAACGGATACAAGTGTTTCTAGTAGGAGAATCAGCTAAGAAACCTCAGGATCAGCAGGAGTCAAGTAACTCTCAAATAATCAGAGGTGACAGCTCAGCTTCTACACTGTAAATTCCAATGCAAAGTAAGCTTAGTTTAGCTGCACAAAGATTTCCCAATGTATTTACAATAGCCATATGAACAGATATTATCTTACCATCTTTCCTGCATCTGCTGCTCTCCCACCCTCAGGGCACACTACCTCCTACGGCAACGGAGTGATGTGTGAGTTTGCGTACTGCTGATTTGACAACGCTAGCTTTACTGGGTCAAAGAATGAGTTCAGCAATGTACCACAAGAAAACTTCCCAAGTAAAACAACATTACTCCAAATGAAAGCCCTTTAGCAGTACTTAAGACATCCCAGAAACAACATCTACCTGGGCGACTCCCATGCTCTAATTGCACCCGCAGCATAAGGTATGTTGGTCAACAAGCAATAGTTATTAGTGGACTGGAGAAACATTGACTTTCATCATGAAGATCCTGGCTACTAGAAGCAGCTTATTAACCCCTGTGATATGGCAGGGTTAGATTTACATATTCAATGCACTCAACTTGCCAGCAGAAGTTCAAATATACCAGAATTGGGGTCCTGCCCACTGATCCAGGTCTGTGTAAGACAATGTGCTGCGATATATTATTTCATAAATATCAGTTAATACTTATCCAAAAGCACTAGGTAGTTAAGCTGAAAGAAAGAATATGCACATCAATAAAGATGATTAATACAGTAAGCTGCCACCACAGATCTATCAAGAAATAAACCAGGTGGAATGCTGCATGCATTTGCTTATGGTCTTTGCCTAGATCTTCTCTCCTGCTGAGGGTGTTAGATTTAAAAACATGATTGTAGTTGAGTAAAGGTACATACATAGAAACCACTTAGGGAATATACTTGCACTAAATTTAAAATAGCAGTCAAACTTTTCTTGTTCCTATTCCAACTACAGTGTCATTGGTCCCACAAAAAATCACTGGTAAGTCTGTTACTTATTTCAAAGGACCTGCAATTTTGCTTTCCCAAAAACTCCACTAAATCAGAGATCTAGAATAACTTCATTTTCATGAATACTGTATGCCAGTTGGCCAAGTATGAAAAGAATCTTTCAAACTAGGAGATGACGACCTTTTTTAATTTTCCACTTTATCTCATGTCAGCCTACTTTAGGCTTCAAATAGTCCTGAAAAATCGAAGAAACCATTAATTTTTTTAAGAATTAAGAAATTGTGTTCATATAGTCCTCTACCGCACACTAAATTTGGCACGGCCTTCATAAAAATGAACAGCAATAGAAAGGAGAAACCAATAGATGTAGTTGCAGAGCATTTGTTCATTTCTTCCACTTAATTTATAGAACTATAAAAAGTCTTTAAAGAATAGTGAAAGCTCCTACAGTGTAAATTGGGTTTATAAAAATTTTTCAATACTAGTCATAATAAAAGAGATTCAAACAACTGAAACTTAACAAGATCCAAATAACTGGTGGATCTCAAAAACCAATTCCAAACCAGCAAATACTCTCCTAACAATACCATGTCTCAGAGCAGCTCTAAGCTGCACCATCTCCTACTTCAGCAGTTTGAAGAAAATACCAGGGCATTTAAATACATTGTAGAAGCGGTATTCCACTCTGCCACATCCCAATCTTTCTAGTAAATAACAACTTTGAGATTCTAAATACTGTTTACCTAGGACACATTTATCTTACTGTGATGTTATGCGATTTGAAACAGTTCTCAAGGTTTTTCCAGAAAATATAATCATTGCAAAGTCGTTTTCAAGAGTTAGTTTAAAATCATGAATCCTTGGGTATCAAGAAGACAAGCTAATTAATTGTGCAAAGTGGAGGACACAGCTAGATAAAAATAAAGAAAACAAATGGGTCTGCTGAGTAAGCATTTCTCTGATTTCAAAGGTTACAGGTGTGATCAATAGGGCACACATGCTTTAGCAGAAACAGATCTAACAGTTATTTTAGATGTCAGTACAAAATAGTTGTGTTCAACAACATAAGATCAACCTATACAGAGCAAGTGACTGTCTAGTACATCTGTAACACTGCAATCATACAGAGTCCTCTACATATTTTCCCAGCACATTACATTCTGAAGAGGAAGAATTTTCTACATAAAGCATTGTAGTTCCCAAAGCAAACAGTGCAGAGGATATGACAATTAACCACTGTAATTGCAAACTCCGTATTAGTAGAGCAGTACACTGAGGTTCCTGTATGAAAGGTGTTTAAGGCTCCCATTTCACTGCACCATTTTTCTTTCAACAGCCATTATACAACATCTGAGCTTAGATCATGCTTCTCTCCCACTCCAAAGTACTAAGTTAGTGCATTCACTATCCTCCCAGCATGTGTACCATAGTTCAGGGCTAAAGGTGTAGTAATATTCACCTCACACAGGGATATTTAGTCAAATCAATGGGTAATAAAAGAGACGGTAGTGCTAAGAAATGACAGAAACGATAATTCACTTCAACCAGTGTCAGGCTATTACCTTTCCAGCTTAGTAATTAAATATAAAAATGAACGATTTGAAAGTTTGGGAGAAGTTAGAAGAAAATAAGAGCAAACACCGAAGTGGGTTTCAGTTAAACCATCAGACCCAGAAATTATAAAAAAGAGACATAGACACTCTGATGCCAACAGTACCTGTGCAAAATGTGGCAGAATGAAAACAGCACCAACTTTTGGCTTCCAGCTCTCCCAGAGATACAAGGATGCTGTCCTGTCCTTTCCACATGAAAGGCATTTTGAATCAGCAGTGGCATGGCAGAAGAGCAGAGGCACACATCAAACTAGCATCTTCAGATGACCTTAATTCCTCTTTGTTAGAAGAAAAACATGCTCCACCTATGTCTGGGTTCCAAAAACGCCAGTAGCACAAGATACACTGATGACAGGCAAATCTTTCAATGTCTGCACTTTTAAGGTTTAAAATTCTTTACTCATGCACCTGAAAGATTGCAGGTGAATGAGCAAATGAATGATGCGAAGTCCATCAAATAAACTGGCTGTACGGCCAAAGGAACAGCTGTCTTTAGCAGGCAAATTTTGGTCAAAGCACCACTATTTACCTCTAGTAGTTGTAAAAATGGGACAGCAGGATCCATGCTGAGCATATACCCACCCATCTACTGGATGCTTTTCTCATTCCAAAATCAAGAAATATAACTTTGCCTAATTGGCATAACTCAGTAAAACAACCATCACATGTATACTAACATTCTTAGAAGGGAGCAACTTAGTACTACTTGACTAAAAGCATTTAAGCAAACCATAACTCTGCACTTATTTCAACCACGTACTTAAAGAAAGGTTAGGGGACAAAATAGCCACACTGGCACTTGAATATATTGCTAACACCTTGCTTACAGTTTGAGCAATTTTTGAAATGTAAAGATCATTAATATGTCAGATATGAAATGAACAATTCCCAAGGGAGACAGTGACAGACAAAGAGAAGATGTTCAAATGATGTTCATGCACAAAACAGTATTTTAAAAGTTTATCTGTTACTGCCATCTCCTGGCAACAAACTAAATAATTGTCCTCCCCCAAAAGAGAGATGAGAACTCCGAGGGGCTGTAAAGTTACCAATAACCAACCTAATAAAAAGGCTACACTGCACAGCATCCTTTGAACTCAACAAGTACATGGTGCTGTGGTTTTTTGTTGGTGATGTTTTGGGGGTTTTCCCCCCTATTCTAGAATACCTGTATCATTTTTCAGAAGACACTGAACAGGTCAGCTTGAGAGTAGAACTTGAAATGCCTTTCAGAGTTAGGACTACTGCATCACTTGTTTTTCAACAGCAGGCAAGTAGTTTTGAATAAAGTACAAACACTTTAGGAGTTTCATATGCAGCATATTCCATTATTAGAAATCCATATGTTGTATTTTAAATCCTTTGTATGAGTAAGAATGTACATGTCATTTAAGTAGTTTCAGAAGAATTTGATTTCGATTACAACTTTGAGAGCATAAAAAAAGTATTTGGATCACAGTCAGGATAACAGACAGCACACACCAGGGCTTGCTTTCTATCCTAACACTGTTTAGCATGAGGTAAACATAGGATTGCTGAAGTCCATAGATTTATAATTTCCTATTTAGAAATTAATGTGACGTCTGAGTAATACAATGTGTGTATTCATCAACTTATGTTCAATTGCTTTTAGCTTTCTTTTCCTTGTGAAATACTATTTTTCAAAAAGTTAGTTCTCCAGATTAAACGTAGTCGCGCAGAACCGATTAAGAAAAGTTATACACAACAAAGCAGGAACATTTTTAAATTGTTCAGTCTTTCACACAACGACATCTGAAAGAGCAGTAACAATCCTCTGAAAAACAGTTGTGCAAATCTGGATACAAAGCCACCTCTCATGCTTCAAGCCTAGAAATGCAACCTGAATGACCAAGGTACCACCAACAATTCATCCAAAAGCTAAGCTTTTCTTGCAGAGATCAATGTTGCCATTTCTAGCTGTCAACAAGACGATTTGCAGCAGAGGTGAAGAGCTAGCAAACCCCTGTTGAGGCACCAGGAGTCATTAATGTCATTTCCTCACACAAAAAGAGGTACACAACTCATCATGCCACCAGAGAACTGGCCCCAGCATCCCAAATCAAAACCGCTCCTCCACTTTGGGAAATGGCGCGACAGAGACTATGCTCCAGAGTGCAACGGGACTGGGTATTACAATGTGTTTGGTGCCTTTCTGTGGCATGTGCAGAACTCAGAAGTATCAGACTAAGACCAAGGTCCTTCTCAAAATCCAATTTTTAAAAAAGTCATTTCACTTTAACATACATACCAAGCATTTAGAGACAGGGCTAGAACGTAGTTCCTAAGGAGAGCAAATCTCCAAACAAACTCAAAGTACAAGGAAAACCTTCCTTCCTAAGGTGAATTTTGTTTTCTACAGGTTAGGAATGTTCTCAAGAAGATTTACACTTGACTGCCTATCTCCAGAAGGATGTTTTATGGAACTATCAGACCATGTGTTTGGAGAGACAAAAACCAAGTGACAAGTGCTCAGCTTGTTTTTATTCACTTCACTAACCCAAGGCTTTTTCAGACTCCTGCTTGTGGTGTAATCCTAGTGCCAAATGCTCATTAATGTTTAATTGAACTAAACCAAGGTTTTCAATAAAAGCTAACTGCAACCAGCTACCACATCTCCACAACAGCAATAACATACACACGTATGCATACCAATCTGGGACTATACACTTTTAAGACATACAACCTGTTCAATATGAAGCCAATATTTCATAGGGTTGTAAGGATCAGCTGCGAATTACTGGGCAGAAGCCCTTCATTAAGATGTGTAATTTTCACAATTCTGTGTAACACTGATCACAGTTAAAAATAGATTTTTAGAAGTCAGAAACTCAAGTGTTTTCTGATGTTAAAATACGGCAATCTCATCTTCTATGAATACAGAAAGCCTTGAAAGTTGCACACTGAGCACAAATACTTCACTTTGCCACTAAGTCTGTTCTTAAGATTATTACTGCTTGTAAAAGTGCACAGATTTAAGTTTTTTACATTAAAAAAAGACAAAAAGTAAAATATTCACCTTAACATAATAGGAACGGGTCCAAAGCACAGATACTTGGGCAGGACCACTATAATTATTTCAGACAACATGCAGGACTAAGTTTAAGACATATCAAGGCCTGAAATAGCTGCATATACCCATTTTACGTTAAAAGACAGCAAGCATTTAGTTTTATAAAGTTTCTGAAATAGGTACTAAAACCTATCAATTTTATTTAGTAAAATGCATCTAGAATTTATTGGTACACTTTTCAAAAGAAAAACATTACTCCCAACTCTTATGCCTCTACAAGAGCTTTTGCAGTTTTATAGAAAATGGTGAAAAATGACAGCTGTTGTTGATTATAGGTACCAGATCAAGGTTTGGTTGAATTTCAGTAATAAATTAACACAATTAAAATCCACAGGGATTTCAAAGCTCAATGTGTAAATATCACTTTGTATGAAAATGAAACCCAAATGTAGGATGTCAACTCTATAAAACTGACTAACATTAGATACAAAGCAGTCACTTAGATCATGCAACTGAACAGGTTTTTGTTATTTTAGAAACAAATTTCAAAAGAAGCCTGGCAGGGTTCTACTTGCCTGACACAGCATACAGTTCTCTTAGTTTTAACACACAAAACAGATATGGAAGGGACTTACCTTCCTAATCAAGGGTGACAAGGTAGTGCTCAAGGGTCAAAGTTGTCATTCATTTAAGGAAAGGGCACAATTTGGATGAGACCATGCAAGTCATATTAACATCTTAAAGATAATTAAGAGAATCAAAAGCACAGAGGTGACGTAAGTTACTCTTGCAATTAGGCTGCCCATTATACACCACTGTCTTTTGAGAGTTGTTTTTGACATGCTACAGGAAACACTGTTGGCAAGTGTGGAAAAACAATGAGTATAGGCTTCTGAGCCACTCGATCAATGGGACTTGCAATAGCTGGTACAACTATACGCCATACAGTAATAGCTGATACAGCTAGTCATACACCATGATGGCAATCTGTAGTAAAGGAAAGAGCGCAACCACAGCCTAACTTGTAAGAACAGACCCTGCAGACTAAACATTCTGCCACCACTTAACAGAAAAGCACACCAGAATTATCACTTTTTTCCACTGAAGCGAAGCCAGATACAACAAACTTTTTCCATTTTTCCTGCATTCTCATAGGTGTAAAATCAGTAGGGACAGTAGCAAGCAAAAGCTATTTCTGTTTAAAACAAAGGAAATTTACTTCTTTAAGACAAGTGAAACTATCTTTTAAAAGGTGGTACTTTACTCTTATCTTTTAATGTGATGTTAGTCCAACATGGGATTGATTTCAATCAACTCAGATTAAGTTCTTGGGTAAATTTAAACAGACAGTCTTCAAACGCCACATTACCTTTAAGAAAGCCTGAGTATGGGAACAGTTGTCAGTATTTACATCTTCAAAAGCAACAAAGTTGTAAATATAAATATATATTTATATATACAAATGTGGTGTAAATTAGCATCAGCTTATGCAGCTCCCCAAAATTTCTTAGGAATAAATATATAATATGAAAGAACTGTATAGCTCCATGGTATCAGTCCTGAGGTATAAAATAAAAGCAAACAAAATAAAATTATAATCAAAGCTCATTACTTGCACATGATGACCATGACTGTCTATTTCACTTTATTTTTTAGTTAATCCTAAATACTCCCTAGAGAAATCAAAATTCAGTATTTTGAAAACAAGCTGAAAGAAACATGCAGACTACCTAAAGGACACAGCTCTCCAGTCAAAATGAGGAGTACATTTTTATATGCGTGGCCAGACAACCTAAGTCTTCTATAAAATAACTTCTGTGAAACTGAAGTGTGGGGGGAAAAAGGACACTCCCTCCCTTCATAGTCCTCTTTCACACTTTAAGGCCGTTTTTTAAGAAAACAGAGCACATATGAGATTCCGTATCATGTATCCTACCCCACTTTCTTCATTCCCCTCCAACTACTAAGTTCATTTCAACCATGCTTGACAGATGAGCCAAAATCCCCCCATCACCTCCAAAAGTTGAATTCCTCCAGGTTTTGTGAAAATATAGCAGCACTACAGAGAACAGAAACCCATAACATGCAAACAGCATTCTGTCCCACATACCAAGAAAGTCCATACACACAAGACCACCTAAGCACACCAATGGCTACAAAAGCTTCAGAGATTGTAACCAACCTTTAAAGGAACATTACTTCAGTGGTCCCTGTGCTCAGAAAATTACCAGTTTCCAATTCCCTTTACGATTTGTATCACCTCATCTGCCCTCAGCACTCACTGTCACGTCTTGGAATTCTTGGGATAAGATCCACAGACTACTCACTGCAGGTGTGAATCTGTGCTATTATACTGCCAGTGGTAAACAGAACACTTTGACCACTTACTTCATGCTTATTTCCCACTCTGGAAACAAGGTCCACACATTTACCTTTCAAAGAATCAAATGAATCATCCTCCCCAGCAGCAAAAATCCAGGGATACAATTCCTTCCAGAAATTAATGGAAAAATATATACAACTTACCAGGAAACTGAAAGCTAAAGATTCTATATACCTAGTTATTACTTCTCCACTTTTTTTTTTTTTTTTTTTTTTTAAAGAAATGCATATAGTAAGTGTAAGAACAGATTGCTTATTCAAACTACTGATACAGGTTTACATTCATCGGTGGCAGAAAGGAGCAACTGAAGGAAGGAATCGTGGCTGGACTCTACAATAAAAATCCCTAAGTGCTTTTGCTTTTGAGTCAGCAACAAGACCAAACTAGATTCTATCATCTAAGCAGGCAGCTTTTTATTTAAGATTTGGGAAACTTAGAACAAAACTAAAATGTAATAAAGACTACACAAATGAGAACACCTCTATAGTATTGTCTATACCTATGGGGTTTGTATGAAAAAGGAATTTAGACCAGAGCTTGCAAAGATACAACTTTTACGACAACTCAGTTCCAGTTTAAACACAAACTATTCTTCAGGATACACTACTCACAACTACTTTTACATGGAACAACACTGGCATCCAGTGGCCAATTCAATTAATCACAGAAGTGAATGACTTCAGCTACCCTCCTGCACTTTTTGACTAGGAAGCATCACTTTCTTTATATGAGACAATCTAAATCTGGAGGATGTTCCGAAAAGTTTGCATACACCCGAAGTATTTAAAAAAATGTATTTATAAATGCACCTCTTGTAAAACAAACATTAGTTTACCTGGTAACGCGGTGATGAAGTCCCGTTGTAACATGGGCTTCAAATAAGAGTTAATATGTCCATGCTGATAGTGACACATTCGTGAAATAAGGTGTTCCACAAATTCAACTTGATCTGATTCAGACCACTGGTCAAAATATTTAATACACAAGTCTTTTTCCTTTTCGTAGTTTCCTTCCGATGGTCTTTTTCTTGAGACTATCACAGATGAAGTTCCATTACTTATCTGTTTTTAGAAAAGGAGTATCAGTAAATATAAAGAGGAACAGCTTTATAAGAATTCTCTTAAGAAAACGTGAGAAGATGCAAAGAAATAATCCTACAGAATTAAATTTTAAAATACATTCTTAAAGCTATGAGTTACGCCATACAAATGTCATCTTTCATAGATAAAGATGAAAGGACCTTCCTCATAATAAGTTACTTCTTACACTGACCGACTTCAATTCCCTTACACCTCTTACCATTTAGACCACAAGGAACTTAATTCTTCTTAGAACAAACTTCCCAGACTAAACCAGTGGTTTCTGCTGCATACTGCAGTTTGCCTCTACTGCATAATGCAGTCTGCCTCCACAAATTAATTACACAGGTTCCAGCAGTTAAAATAATACACATTTAGAGACATACCCAAGTTGGTTATTAATACTCCAATTAACACAAATATTCAAAGACCCTCATGTCAGTGTTGAGTGGCTTGTCCATAAATGAAAACTGAGAAGTACACAATGTCAAGGGCTTGTTTTGTTTTTGAAAAACAGCTCATGTCAATGTTTGGGACATCCACATAAAAACATCATTAAAATCTTGGCAGCTTTAGCTACAAATAAGGATGCTACAAGAACACCACCCCAGGACTTACTGCTAATTAGTAAATAGAACCAAAGATTGATGTCAGGCTCTTCTGAGCCCTTCAGGAGACCAAGAGGAACAACTGTCAGCTCTCTGAAATATTCCCAAAATTCTTCAAAGTAAATTGGCTGCAACTCCTTGCCATGTGAAGTTGTTGATTTTTTTCCTTTTAAATGACAGTCACGTGCTCAGAAAGGTTGAATTGTATTCCCAAGTAACCTTTGACGCAGAACTCCTTCCAAGGTCAGCACACTACAAAATCTGAGAACATCTAGTAATTTCTCAAGTATTATTCATCGGCACCATCCTTCACTTCAAGGCTGAGCTAATTTTAGGATGATATAGTCAACCATACAAGGATGATTATGCAGACCCAAGATTTGGAAGTTTCTCAAAAGCAGGAACATATAAAAACATGCCAACTCTCTTTCTACGTGAATGTTAGTCCTACCTGCCATAGGGTATTTTTCTTTGGAGACTCATCTTCATTCTGATCCTCCATTACTGACGTGTTCTAGGAAAAAAAAAAGAATTATGACTTCAATTTTTCATTCTATGGCAAGTCCTTGCTCTACAAGCATTATGGAAAAGCAAATCAATTGAACAGATAAAATTTATTTTCCCAGTGAATGGAATTATCAAAGATTTCTGGCCACAAAACCTGGGTATTATAAATAAATTCCTCTTTTAACTGACATGTTTATCAATTCCATTTACTGTAAAGATAACTCCCCAACCCCTCTTCAATTTCCTTTGACAGGTTTTCATGCAGCCTTTCAATGCTCTTCTCACTGGGAAATAAATTCACTTTCATCCTACTCAAGCCAAAGTAATTAAACCTGTCAAAGTAGCACTTTCTGCCAAAGTTAAATTGCATACGTCTAGTTGGAAAAAAAAAAAAAATCACTATATACACTACTACATGCAACAGAATACGAATTTTTTTTCCAGCTCTAGCTTACCACAAGGAGGAGGGACCATTCTCTGCAGAATGCCTCTGTAATTCACCGCTACAGTATGTGTCCTATAGCCCTTGGCAGTCACCATCTTTCTTCACCCTGACTTAATTACAGTGCTCTCCCCACATCATAACTGCTCCTCCCTACTGTTTTCTTCCCTTCTGTTTGAGAATGAGATGTAAGAATTTCTATAAACATTGAGCTGCAAATGTTTCTTTTAGAGCTTACCTCAGTTTTTCAAACTCTTTTACTCATTTCTTCCCTTTTTGCTTTTTAACTATCTGCTCCCCTTCGCTGTCCATACCACAATTACCATCTATTTCTACCTACTCATTGGTACCCCACACCTAGGCAATTACTGCTCATTTAGCTTCCCACCAACTCTGTCCTCCCCATTATTCATGCCCAGGAGACACTGGCTAACTGGCAGAGGGCTATCATGAAAAACTGAATGTCTTAAAACATTCTCTGTATTTATTTCAGACTTCTTCCCCTCTATCAGCTGTCTCAGCAGAAAGAGGAACAACACAGTCAAGTAAAACACATGATAGAATAAGTCACACAATTCCTTTACTCTTGCCATACAGATTATGGATTAACCCCTTAACAACTACATCCAACCCCCATTCAAAACACAATTCCACCTCAAAAGCATTCACTGCTTCATCTCCTCCTCTTTCTTGCAGAAAGGATGTACCGCACCAAAACCAGAAAACTTGAAAAATTAACAGTACTACCCCATAGGCAAGCCTTCCTCCACTGCCTGACTACAGTTCTTTGTCTGAAGTTTACCTTGAACCCTTTTCTGCCTTGCAGTTAGGTATGAAAAAACATGCAACACACAGACAAAAGATTACATTATGAAAACCATGTCCACTGGGTGATGGAAAAACGCACATAAAAATGACAAATACAAGCCCAGGAGATGGCTAGTGAGGAACCCAAAAATGGACAAAGGCAGTAAAGGTTTTGTGTTACCCCACAGATACATATATTTTAGTGTTTCTAAACATACATAGAACAGTAACACTGGAAAAGTAAACCACACTTTCCACATTTTAAAAATTACAGTCTTTTGAGGGCCATTTCAGTTATTCTTAACTACACACTGTTCATAACCAGCACTATCACTGATGTGCAAACAATGTGCAAGTGATGCTCTCCCACCACAGGGTGCCACAAGAGAAAGCACATATCAGCTGTAGACTTACTGGTACTCAACTGGCCCATACCAGCAAACATTACTCCATGGAAATATGGGGGGGGGGGGGGGGGGGGGGGGGGGGTTTTTTTTTTTTTTTTTTTAATTTGAATGTGTAGAAATACTCATCACAGTGACTGTATGTTGTTAACAGTGTTTTCAATTACTAGGTTGTTAAACAAGTAAGGAACATCTCATCCCCTTTTGTAGCTGAAGGATTAATACATGCATTGACCCTGTGAGCTAAGAGGAAGGAACAGGAACTCTCATTGAGAATATCAAACATGGATGGCTTGGGTGAGTATATTCAGCAGAAATCCCACATTACATCAATTTAGCCCCAACCTAACTTTCCTTTGGTAGCTCACGGCAAGACTCTGTCACTGCTTTCTTCAGCTCCTTTAGTGGGAAACGTCTCAGGCATCATTGCTAATTCCCTGGGATGCAGGCTAAGTACTGTCTCCTAAACGTTATGTCTCTTCATTCTAGGAACATATAATAAAACTATAGCAGAGCAGCACTGTAACACAAAGTGTGCAAGAACACAAACATCACCAAAATTTCAGAATTCCACACTAAGGCTTTTGATTGCAGAGCAAGTTTTTGTCTTCGGTGTGCACCTACTCAATTCTATTGTGCCTCTGCTGCTGCCTAAGTAAAGAAAACTGGGTAGCAGACTTTAAGGAAAAGCTACATCCTTGGCATGTCTACTCATACAAGGAGAAATAGGATGACTGCATTTCTCTTGCCCCTCTCCACTTGTGCCTCTTTCTTCAGAGCATCAGAGCAGAGTCTTGGCTAAGAGGACAGTGTCTTTGATCCACAAATGGGCAACTGCTGAGAAATATCTCCCCATGACCTCTTAACATCTGGGCCATGAATGTGAGGGCAGATGACATGGCCTGATTTTTAGCATGGAAATGTAACATTGTATTTATCTATTTAATTGGGAAGTAGGTAGTGGTGTTAATTTAATGGTATGTATTACAGTGTTTATTCTTTTTTCTCTCTTTTCCCATCCTAAACTCACTCCACATTTTCTTACTATACCTTAGAATTTGAGGGCCCTTTCTACTCCCAAATATATAGCTTGTTTTCCCTATTATATCTTCTCTTCCTAATAAATTCTCTCTACTTCTGTCTTAAACAATTTTTGGGGTTGTTCCCCAGATCACATACATCCTAACTCAATGGGTTTGACACATTGTACACAGACTCTAATGTGTCTCTAAAGCACTTAAGCCTACTACCTGAAGAATAAAAGGTGACCGGGTGGATCCTGTCCTGTTGTCTGGAAGAAGCAATTAGACAACTCTAATCTGTCCTGTACATCCACAGCACTCGGCAAAAGAAGAATTTCAAAATTCCTAACAGCTGGTGTCACTAGTCCTTGCTCCAGAAGGCCTCCAGCAAGAAGAAAGATAGGCATCTACAAGTTCAACTCTTCCCTTCATCAAGCTGTTCCCTTCTCTCAACCTGTATGTACCTTGTTGCTTACCACACCCACCCTCTACATAAAGCTACCGTGCTGGCTGTCTCCGCAGTTTTCCCAAGCCGCTTTAAAGTGGATTTAACATGGACTCCATTTCCCTGCAGCTCTGCTGCTGAACAGCATCAAACCCTGGTGCAAACAATGACCTCTCATTCAGTTACTCTGGCAAGGCCATGAGCCCCTGCAATACAACTGACCTGCACTTGCAGACTCTGAAAGAACAGGCTTGATTTTTACCCCCACAACCACAAGAGCCTAGCAGCTTCTCACAGAGGAAGCGTAGCTTCTAAATATTGTCAATTAATCCTGTTTCTAAGTTCATTTTTTCCAGAAATTCTTGTGAAGTTGCTCACAGCTCTTGCAAAAGTAGAATGATATTTCCAACCAGCTGTCATTCCTTAATTAGTCAGCCTGGAATACGCGCTCTCCATCCCCTACTGGGAATGGCAGCAACAGCGAAGTGGTAACAATGGGTCTAAGCATAGATGTTTTTCATTGCCTTATAGTTGTTATAACTCAACCAAATAAAGTTACACTGAAGAAAGCCTCTGTCCTTATTTTCACTAATGGTAAAACCAGCAATGACAGTAAAATTTACAAATTGCTCTACAAGCTGTAGAATTTTAAAAGCTTGTTTCCTGAAGATTTGCATCCTATATTCCTCACCTAGTTCTGCAGTAACGTCAAGCTTCCTTTAGTCCTTCTGCTGCACAATACCTCAAGTCTTTGGGATTTCTATGAGATGCAGATTAACGGGGCAAACGGGTTCAAAAGGTACTCAGGGAGAAAGAGGTACTGACAAGCAGCGTAATTACATAAAGCTCATTTCCTCTGGAGATTATGAAAAGGTTCCATAATAAAAACAACCATCAATGATCCCCAAAGGCAAGAAATTTTGTAGGTATTATAAAACTTCATAAATCACAGTTTCAATTAAGATCCTTAGATACCTGGTAGCAACTAAAACTGGCATCTCAAGCATAATAGTTCTACATTAGTATGATTGTATGACATTAGGTGCAAAAAGCACCTAAGTGTTTCTGTAGATGAATGGCACTCAGCCTGCAAGGCTCATCTCACTCATGAGATACATGAAAAAAGTTGCATCTTTTCTAGCAGAAATCTACCAAACCTGTACAGGCTAACCAGATTTCTACCAGATTTATGTTAGCTACAGGCAGGTAATGCTTAGGTTTGCACCATGCTTCAGGACTTGGGAGTGCCTTTAGTCACTTAGTTGACTCTGAAGAGAAACAGCATGGTGCAGCTTTGTTGTTTAACCCAGTTTTAGTTCCAGTATCAAGAGAGCAATTACATAAGTGATAGCAGTAATCCTGGGAACTGGGACAAGATACACAAGCAACAGCAGTAGTACCTAGCAAGGCAGACAATTCTTCAGTGAGACACTTTTCCCTACCAAAGAATGGATTCACAGGATACAAAGGATGGATGGACAAAACTAGACAATAGCTGTGTTACCTTGAAAAAAAGAATAGCAGTCTTCAATTATTGTATTTTCAGCTATAATGAAAGGGAAAGTGATAGAAAACATGAACTATTTCCCACTACCTTGAGACTACACCAGTAATTCTGATCTGAGTTAAAGATCAAACTAAGTCTTTAAAAATCTAATTTTTGAGAAAATTCCCCGCCACTGGAAAACATACCAGGAAATTTCAGTTGAAATTACAAAATAAGCAAAACTAATCAAACCAGTTCAGCTAAACAGGCTCTGATCTCCTTTAGCAAATCACATCTACATCTGACTTTAGAGAAGTTGAAGAAATTATAAAAAAACCCAAACTAATACATACTTGGATATCTTGAAGTCAAACACAGCAGATTAAGCTCAAGCT